TGTCCGCAAGTAAATTTGAAATAATGGCACAGGAACCCAAAACTCCTTGGTCGAGATGGGATCTTCCTTATTCAGGTATTTTATTACGAATATATTTTAGTGAGTTATAGCCGTGTCGAAATGCTACAAACAAGACATCGCTAGACCTTTGGGATTGAAAAAATCAAACGTTATAATGGGGTGAATCTTAGCTAGAGGGTATCGCTTATTAGGAGCCTCCCACACCTAAGGGCTAACAAAATTCAAAAATGTGTCTTAAACTGAGGTGTTCTAGTATTATGCGCATCTTATAATAAGTTGACTTATGCTCTTATAATGAGCGTGTCTTATAGAGAGGTTTGGGGGTGACTTATAGAGAGGGGTTTGGAGGTGTCTTATAAGGGGGTATCTTATAATGAGGCTCAGCTGAAGGTTTTATAATGATGGTATTTTATAGGGAGGTTGGGGGTATCTTATAAAGAGGGTATCTTATAACGAGTTTATCTTATAGGGAAGTTCGGGGGTGTATTTTATAGCGAGTTAAAAAATGATAATTTCAGACCCAGCTCAACAAACAGACCATTTAACAGATAAGGAAAGAGAATTACAACTATTTGACCCATCCTATTCAAACTCGGCTTCAGGCCCTCCAAACGATGCAACATTCGAAACCATAAAAGACGCAACTTTAGTAACAAAAGAAATTAATGGTTAAAAATAAAGCTAAATTTTGAAAAATGTTTTTTGAAATTCAGAACATGATCCATCATTTTATAATTGCATTTATGGAATTCCAGACAGCGTACAACAGGTAGCATTCTTGAAAAATCTGAGTATTAAAATTAAAAGATAAGAGCAATTGAAGGATTTCTCAACGAATTACTACAGTTTAGGAATGCCAGGGTATCCGAAAGCTCGACCCGAACCTTCCCTTTTAATCCCTAAACGGGACTTTTTTCAACCCAAATCACGATCCGAAGAAAATTTTTAAACCCTACACAAAGCCCAACCTAACTCTTTTCCTAACCTGTGACATCCCTAAAGAGGAGTCTGCCGAAGGGCTTCTAACTAGCCTTTGCGATAGAGGGGTTTGAAGTAGACTAGTAGCCTCTTCCTTTATCACTTTTGTCTTAACTTCAATTTAACTTTTTTAAAGGTTATTCAAGAGTGTCATATCGATGTTGATTGTTGTGAAAAAACTTGTTGTGATTCTAATTGGTAGGAAAATTTTTGAAAAATACAAACAGACTCTTCACTATTAGCTACACCCAACACCTCTTTAAGAGCCGTTTTAAAATTTGGTTGGCCCGGGAGGGGATCTATCCAAGCAATATTCTCTACTTATAGTACCCCTCATAGTAAGGTATCCCTCTATTTAAGACACCCTTGAATATAAGGTACTCTCTAAGTCAAATCTCGTTATAAGCACCGATTTCTCAGTCCCGAGGGAGTATCTCGCGGGTTGCTTGTATTTTCCATTTCCAAAATTTTTTTAGAATTAATAATTTTATTTTAGGAGATCAAAATATACACTTGTTATTGGCCTCTTAGCTCTATTTTGTCTTCTCGTTTTAATTTCTCTAATAGTTTGGCTAATTGTTTGGCTAATAAATCGTGGAAAGGACAAAAAACAAAGGCAAGAAATTGAAGATGCAAATAATATTAATAATCAAAACCCTCCAAATCATTTAAATATTGACACGTTAGAAAGCAGAATTTATTAAAAATTTTAATTAAAAAATAATAATCTCAAGAAAAAATATTTTTCTTTGAATTTTTAAAAATTGAGGTGACCAATCTTGCAGAGATTTTCCCCTTATTTTCCCCTTAATGTAGGAAAAATCTGCAAATTAGAAACTTCAATTTCAAGAATTTTTTTTGCTCAACTTAACAAAATTAATATAGCCGGACCTTAATATAAGATACCCCCTCAAGCCTGAAAAATCGGACCTTAAATGGGCTGTATCTTAATTAGAGAGTGTACCTAAAATGCATTGTTTAGACAGCTTCCTACACCCAGGGTAAACCAAATTTTGGAGATTCTTAGTGGTGTACCTAGTATTGGGGGGGGATTATTTTATAGGTAGGTCCGCCTTCATAACTACCTAGTTCATTTTCAACATTTAATAATCAAAATGTGTTCAATAAATTATAAAATTAATTTTAAATCAATTTCTCTTTTTTTTTAATCTCCCTTTGAAATCTAATAAATTAAATCTGTCTAATCTTCAAAATATTGACCTAGAATATTTTTCGATTGATGAAACGCCTCTTTTTTAAAATTAAAAATGTTTCAATAAAATTAAAAATTATTGGTTCTTTTCCTTTATGCTCGAGAAAATCCGCAAGTTTTATCCGCAAGTTGTACAGTCAAAACTCATTTTTAAACAAGCCAGGATTGACTAGAATTTTTGATCACCCCAGGATTGACTTCGATTTAAGATACGTTTTTTAATTTTGTGGGAAACTTGGCAAAAGGAGCTGTCTAAGCTATATTACCCTCTATTTAAGATACCTCTCATTATAAGAGACTGCTTTTCAACCTTAAAAAGTATCTTATAATGAGATTCGACCTCTATTTAGGATACATCCAAGAGTGTATCGTATAATGAGATTTGACCTCTATTTAAGCTACCTCTCATTATAGGAGACTATTTTTTCACCCCCATGAGGGCATTTAAAAATAATTATGAGGTATAACTTGTGGATAAAGCTTTCAGATTTTGGGTCCAGTTTTTAAATTAAAAATTAATCTCAAAAAATGAATACAAATCCTATTTTCTACAAACAATTGGGAATTTTATTATTGACTTTGCAGCAATCAAGGCATTAAAAAAATTAAAAAAATTTCTTAAAAAATTTTTGTAGCATGCCTTTAATGGTTAGAGCTTCAAGAGATAGAGATAATGCATTCATAACGACAGTGTATTTTAGCTTGGGCGTCTAAACTAAAACACAAAACTTAATTTTTAGGAATGTATTTTTTATGGATTTGATTAAATTATCTGCTTGTTCCATATTGCTTTGTTTTAAAGCAAAAAGTATTTTCAGGTAATTTAAAGAATGAGGAAAATTTTTGCGGATCTTTCATGTAAAATATTTCACTGTCGGAGCTGATTCCTAACTTCCTATTTAAGATACACCTCTGGGAAAAAATCCGCAAAAAATTTGCGGATATCCGCAAAAACTTGCGGATATCCGCAAACAACTTGCGGACTTCCCGCTGGATACTTCGGACTATCCGCAAAAAACTTGCGGACAACTTTTTTTCCTTAATAATGCAGATTTTTTTAAAGATTCTTAAATGATTGTAAAAACGCAATATTTGGAGATCCCATCGAAACTGCCAAAGTTTTTTTGCTAAAAAATAATTTAATAAAAATATGCCACTTAAAGGTTTGTGCCCCCTCTTTAATATATAATCTACAAAATAATTTGTATTATGTTGCTTTATCCAATTTGGAATCCACAACATTTTGTGTTTGATTTTTAATTAATTAAATTAATTTAAAAAATATTTTGAAGGTCATTTATCAATTAAAAATTTTAACAACAGCGATTATGCTGAGAATATTGCTTGGGAAATTAATTTCTAGAATACAATGGATTGCTCTTTTAATCCTTGTTAGTAAACCTCCATTACTAGACACACCCTAGGGAGATGAAAAATAGTCTCTTATAATGAGGGGTACCTTAAATAAAGGTATCGTATCTGTATGTTGTAATATTTTTGCGGTTAGGAAGCATGTCAGGGCAAATGTCGGTCCACAAACAAAGGACAAAATCCCGTCCGGACAAAAAACAGTACCCCTAAAAACTCGTTATAAAGTATGATTCTGCCCAAGGGGTGTATTTAATAGTGAGGTCTGACTTTAATTTAAAAAAGATTTAAAAAGGTATTAGGAGTTGCTATAGTCCAAAGTCAATATGAGCCTCCAGCAAGCCAATCCAGTAAAGAACAAAGCTTCTTTGTTGGAATGTTATCCGTTATTACTATGTGCATTTCATCTGCATTTGCAGGTAAATTTAGTAGAAAAATTATGCTTAGAAAGTCCGCAAGTGCAATTGCCTTTTCCCCTTTTATAAAGATATGCCTTACAGGCGAACCTCACTTTAGATATTTCTTTGGGATTGAAAGTTGGTCTCTTATAATGGGGCGTAGATTAGATAGGTAGTATCGCTAAAGTAGCTCCCTCACTCTGTATTAGGGTGTATTTTTTGCGGACAAAACTTGCGAAATTTTGAAAACTTGCGGATTTTCGAAGCCTAAAGGAACATTAAAATAATTAAAAAAGGTGTCTATCTGGAAATGGTATTAAAAGAAAGTTCTGTGAACATTTGGATGCAAAATATAAGACTAGCGATTTTTGGATTATTTATTGGGGCAATTCTTATTCTAGTAAAAGACACGAAAAGAATTTCTGAAGGTTCTTAAAGCTAATTTGTGAAAATTTATTTTAATAATTAGAAGGGTTGTTAGTTGGTTTTGATGCTTTGGTTTGGGTAATGACTGCAACAAATTCGTTGGGAGGGCTTTTGATTGCGGGTAGTTTAACTTGAAGAAATTAAATTTTTTTAATTTCCAGTTGTAATTAAATATGCGGATAATATATTGGTAAGTACCTGGGAATGATTAGTTTGAGCTTATAAGAGTCAGACCTCAACGCTAGACTAGATATGGTGTTGGATGGGTGAGCTTCAGAAGCAAAATAGCCTCTGTTTAAGTTAGACCTCATTATAAGGCACGATTTTAGTCCGACCGACCTCTTTGTAAGATACTCTCAATACTAGACACACCTCTATTTAAGATCGTTTTTGATTCGGTTAGCCACGAGGCGGGGATACTTCCAATGAAGGATAAACCTTTATAATGTACATAGGCCCTAAAGGGTATCTTATAAGGGCTAACTCTAGTTGTTTTCAAAATATAAGGTCGCTGGTAAAGAGATCCAAAATGGGGACCCTTTTGGGACCGAAAGAGTCCCTTTTTGGGAACTCGAAATAGGACGCATTCCCATAGGATGCATGTCCTATACCAAAATCAATTTCAGAAAGCCTATGCTCAAGCAGCCGCAATTGTTGGAGCAGCTTTCGGTTCTTGGCTTTTATTCGATTTTTCGCCTAATAATTTATTTTTGGTTGGAACTTTAATGGTTGCAGTTTCTGTCTATTTATATAATGGATATCCCCAAGAGAGAAGAAATATGGAGGAAGGAAATAATAAATTAAATTCATTCTCCTTTCTAAATAATAGATTGGATAATGAAGTTGAGGATGATTTTAGTGAAAAAAGTGTACATTTAATACCCTAAATTTATTTGTTCGACTTGTATGATGTATAAATATTTTTCAAAAATTTAAAAAAGTTTCAAAGGAATAATTAAGGAGGGATGAATAGGAGCCCTTCGACAATTTGAAAAAATTTCCCCTTCTGACCATTTTGAAAAATATGCATTTTGTGTATTTTTCTCCTGTAGTCATTTTAGCAATAAAGAGAAGAGTGAAAAAGAAGAGTGAAATAGTAACGAAGAGTGAAAAAGAGTGAAGAAGAGTGAAAAAGGCAGAGAAATGGAAATTAATCAAAGAAGGACCAAATAATTATGTTCTTTGTTTATAGTTTGCATACCGTCCAAAAATTATAAATCTTAAAACGTAAGTTTCTAAATTTTTTTAATAAAAATTTGGGCGCCCCATAAAGTCCTGCAGCTTCGGCGGTAGGCAATCAAGCCCCCCTGCCTTCGTGCAGGGGGCAACTCAAGTCCCCCTGCCTTCGTGCAGGGGGCAACTCAAGTCCCCCTGCCTTCGTGCAGGGGGCAACTCAAGTCCCCCTGCCTTCGTGCAGGGGGCAACTCAAGTCCCCCTGCCTTCGTGCAGGGGGCAACCCAAGTCCCCCTGCCTTCGTGCAGGGGGCAACCCAAGTCCCCCTGCCTTCGTGCAGGGGGCAACCCAAGTCCCCCTGCCTTCGTGCAGGGGGCAACCCAAGTCCCCCTGCCTTCGTGCAGGGGGCAACCCAAGTCCCCCTGCCTTCGTGCAGGGGGCAACCCAAGTCCCCCTGCCTTCGTGCAGGGGGCACAAATTTTGGAAGTCCCCTGCCTTGTGCAGGTGGCACAAATTTTGGTGTGTCCATGTGCCGTTTTGTACATTGGACCTGCCCCTTGCTTCGGAGGGGGCTTTTAATTTAAAAAATATTTATCAGGGTTAATTTTTGATCCTTGCTGTCTATACAAGGGGTAAAATGTTTCGGTTGTTTAATTTTAATAACGATTATTTTTCTTACCATAAGACTTTTCGGATTATTCGGCTTTCTATTCCCCATGTACTTTTGAAATTCACGTTATGGTCAACGAGGAAAAGGCAGAACGAATTAAACAACAGAAACATTTTAATTATCAACATCACTGATCGTTATAGTAGTTACAATCTAAACTCTTATCCCCTTGCTTCGGCAGGGAGCAACTAAAATCCCTCTGTTCACTCAGGAGGCATTCAAGTCCCGGAGATTTGCGCCAAAATCATTATAGAGCATTGCCATTAAGTGCATTGTCTATAGGGTACTTGAATACGCCTAGGTGTGGTCTATGGCCAATATCGGATTTTATTATGTAGTATAAACTACCAAAAAATTATTTTTTCTTATTGATCTAAGTTAAAAAATTTTTTCTTTAAATTTATTATTAAATCATTTTTCCATTTTATATTCTCAATTGAGACAAAAGTTCTCTTTTTTCCTCTCAACTTTTTTGATGGCAATTGGAAAGGATAACAAAGAAAAGGCAGCCATTCACTCACATCGGGCTAGATGCCAGCCATCCCCTCCACCCCTCCTTTTCTTCGTTTAATGTTAACTCATTTAACATTAACGCCAAAACAAAGCGTTAATAAAGACGCTCTCCCCGATAACTTTATTATCGTCAGACTTGCCTTTCTTTTAAGCATTGGAGGAAGATGACACTTATTAAGTAGGGGCTAATAAATAGATGGATAGATGAATGTCGGGAAGGTTTTCGAGGCTCTAAGGATAGTGCAAACAAGGAAGAAGAAAATAGGACGTTTCAATTAGCAAAAGGAAGGAGCTTTTTGTTCGGGAATTTTAGAGCATAAGTTGGCCCTTCAATACCTTCTTAGCCTGATCGATAATTAAGGAGGGATTTGGGGGATTTAAAAAAACACAAGTTTAAGTATTTATGATAGATTTTCTGGCAAAGTTTTAGCTAAATGAATGACTGAAGGATTAAAATCGATTCAAAATAGACCTTTTACTTATAATAATTGAATTTGGCCTAAATGTTACATCCTTGTAAACTCGTTATAATATAGCTTCTCAGTCCTTAGCTTCAGCTCAATCTCAACTTCACAGCTCCAAAGAGCGCGCCAAGTTGAGACTGTATTTCCCATCCTTATTTGTCAAACATTACGATACAATGCACTCTTGGGGCTAAAAATCGTATAAATAATGGGGTCTGGTCTATTCTTTGTAGGAGATATCATTTGAGCAGTTTCTACTACCCAACGGCCAACCACCTTCTAATTTCCAACACCTCCCAGCTGTTTTCCCTCTGCAAGCGATCTATGAACAGTTAATTATCATGTGTTGTCTGAACCAAAAAAATATTTTTATTGAAACATTTAATTAAATTAACCTTTAAAAATCCAAGCTTATTTAATGATTTATTTTAAATATTTTTTTAAAATTTATTATAAAACATTTTTAATGCTTTACCGAGTGAGGGGCCGTATAAGCGTGTGTCACCCCTATATTTTGTACATATTATTTAAAATTATTTACAAAAAATGAACAATATTTTCAATTACACATTTTTATTTTTGTTTTTAATAACGATGAATGTAATTTTTATTTAAAATAAACAACTTATATGAATCAGCTTTTCATATATTTTTTAAAATTAATTGGACAATTTATTTATTTGTTAATAGCCTTTTAATTGAAAAATAAGTGTATTTTTATTTTTAATCGCGTCATTTTAAATAAATTAAAGATTTGGCTAAATTAAATATTCTGAAAATACAAACATTAATTGTATTAACCAGAGCTGGACATGGATACGGATAATATCCGGATACGGGCGTATATGGATGTTTTTTAAAAATCGGATAGTTACGGATATGATACTTCAAATCCGCGGATATTGCGGATCTTTAACTCAGATCGATGAGCATTTTCAAATGACAAATAACTTTTATGGAGTCTGACTATATAAAAATTTTTTCGGAAAAGTTCGTACACATAATAGACATGAATTGCATTTTGAAGATTTCAATGTCTTATTGAGATTTCAATATCCACCAAAATAAATTCGAATCTTTAATGGCAGTTAAAGTGACCTAATCTTTATTTCCATGTTTTTTTTGTTTTTTATTTCCGAAAAAATCCTTTTAATTTCCAATTTCCACCATTTCCTAAGCCAGCCTTCTTCCCTGTCTGTTCCAAAATTGCAATTTAATTAATTTCTTTTTCCTAAAAAATGTGTTAGCAACAATCAACACCCTTCTCAATTAACTGTCCTTTCCCCTCTTTAATCGGCATCTCCCTCTCTAAATGAAAAATTGTTTTGTGTTGTTGGGTGTCTCTTTTATTTTTCCCCACTTTTTATCACCCCCAAACAGGCAATGATTGAAAGCTTCGAAAAAATTTTTTTTTTATTTGTCTTCACTTTACGGCCATATGCCTTGCTATATTCAATATTTTATTTATTCCTTGGCCAAATCGAATATGTGTTGTTGAATAAAAAATGGAGAGAGAGAGAGGAGGGAGGGTGATTTACGTAATACTCCTCTCTATTATTATAGAGAAGAAAAGTGTATTTATTAAAAACAAAAAAATTTTTTCGTTTAAAAAACATTTCTTTTTGATTATTCCAAAGATATGTTTTTAATTAATCTCTATTATCATAGACAGATGAACCTCATTTTAAGATAGGGGGAGCTTTTTAAAACAGCATCACTCGTGTGGGTTAGAAGAGCTACTCCACGACTGGGTTGGAGAGCTGCACACTTTTCCGACAACTAATCTCTTATAAGACACCTAAACCTCATTATAAGATACCCCCAATACTAGCCATAACTCATTTTAAGATACAAAAGGTAGTACAAGAGCAGCTCTCTAACCCAGTCGTGGGTTCCATAAGCAATACCTTCTGTTTAACATACACCTCGTTATAGCAGACAAATTTTTATCGCTAAAGAGTATCCAAAAATAACGTTTGATTGTTTATAAATTTGGGAAAGACCCATTACTTTTGCATATTTATTTTTCCAACGTTTTTTCCCTATGCATTGATCGCTTAAATATTCAACTTTTCATGTCCCGATTTTCGAACTTTATTTTATTTAAATTTGTTTCAAATTAATAAAAATAATTTTTAAAATATCCTAGTATGTTCTTCAATTAATTGGCTCTCAATAAATAAATTTTAAAAAATTAATTAAAAACAACACTGCCAAACATCATTTAAGACAATAAATTATTTTTCCTCAATTATTGGAAGCATTTTTTCCCTTTTGTTTTATTCTGGCACTTGCCAAATATTTTTAATAAACCCCTTTAAATACCCCTTTAAATTCCCCTTTAAATCCCCCTTTTCTTCAAAAAAATATTTTAAAGCCTTAAATAAAGGCTCAAGTTTATTTAAGCAAAAAATGCGTTCTCATCTTCAATAAACAAATAAAAAGAAGTGCCATACAAAGAGGATTGCTTTTGCGCTAAAAAACAAAAAAAAATTTTTTTTTTGGCAAAAAATCCTTTGCCTCATCCTTGCCCTTTTTGCCTACTTTTCGAATTATTCAAGAGGACACACACTTTTCCTTAAATGATTATGACGACAACAGAACAACAACAAAATGCTGTTGGGGCATTGCTTGTTGACAGTGCCACACCTTCTGTGAGATTGACAAAATATTTTTTCATAGAGGGGAAAAATTAGGAATATTATAGGGTATTTTAGTTCATGCCCCTAAAAGTCCGCAAATTTTTGTCCGCAAATTTTGTCCGTAATTTTTGTCCGTAAAATTTCTCCGCAAGTTTTTGTCCGCAAGTTTAGTCCGCAATTTTTGTCCGCAAGTTTTTGACCGAAAAATTTGTCCGCAAGTTTGATTACAATTTTTGTTTTGTCCGCAGATTTTATCCGCAAGTCGTACAAAAGATTTTTCGCACGCGGATTAAACTTGCGGACTTTTAGGAGCAAAGGAAAACAAACAATCCCTTAATATGTATGATTCAGATATATCATTATAAAATCCTCCCCAAAAAAGGTCTCAAAATCCAAAGAAACCAGCCCTGCCGCCCCTTCAATAAAATCTGGTGAATCAACAACATTAGAGGCAACAACAGCCAATCATTCCCCTATGCTTGCAGAAGAAGCAAATTCAACAACATCAGTTTTACCTCTAGTAGCCATAAATAACAAGAAGAATAGCCTGGAAAAAATCCCCCTATCCTCCCCTACATCAATGACAACAACACGTACAGCAGTTGAACCACCAAAAAAGAGCAGAAGAAGAAATTATAAACGTTTATTGTTGGGAATCTCTTTTTTAATTATTTTATTTTTTCTTATTGCCCTAATTGTTGCTT